TCCCTCGCTTGTTGAGTAACGTTTTTACTCCAATCACAGAGCGGTACATCCACTATATCGACTGCGTCGCTCAGGCTTTTTGCGGTCACTTTAACGCAGGCGCCTCCCACACGGTGCTCATGATCATGGCCTTCGACCGCTACGTGGCCATCTGCAGCCCTCTGCGATACGCCGCCATCATGACCAGCAGGACGGTGGTGAAGCTGTCGGCGTGGACGGTGGCGTTGTTGATGGTGGGGATCCTCTTGGGGCTCAGCATCCGCCTGTCCCGCTGAAGGCAGACTGTACTCAACCCGTTCTGTGACAACGCTTCCTTGTTCAAGCTCTCCTGTGAGAGCGTCCTCGCCAACAACATCTACGGCCTCGGCTACACGGTGGTGCTGCTGGGCTCCTCCCTCGGCAGCGTGATGCTCACCTACCTGAAGATTGCCGTCGTGTGTTTGAGCAGCAGGAACAAGTCTCTGAACGGCAAAGGGCTGCAGACCTGCGCCACACACCTGGCCGTGATGATAAATAAAAAGTACGTTAACATAAATATTTAGAGTTTGACTTGTTTCTCAACTGATTTCAATAATTATAAGATTCATACAGCGCTTCTCCAGTACTTAAAATGAGGGGAAGGGCTAAGAGAAAGCAGTGGAGAAGTTGTTGACCGTCACCATCTTGGCTTCTGACTGTCACCATCTTGGTTTTTGACCATCGCCATCTTGGTTTTTGACCATTGCCATCTTGGTTTTTGACCATCGCCATCTTGGTTTTTGACCGTCGCCATCTTGGTTTCTGAACGTCGCCATCTTGGTTTTTGAACGTCACCATCTTGGTTTTTGACCGTCGCCATCTTGGTTTCTGAACGTCGCCATCTTGATTTTTCAACATCGCCATCTTGGTTTCTGACTGTCCTCGTCTTGGTTTTTGACCTTTTTCATTTGTTTTTTAGCTGTAGTCAAATTTAAAATCGGTGTCCATGTGTATGAATAAATAGATATTGTGACTATTTAACAAACTGCCATGAGACTGTGTTGACACTTGTTGAAAATAATCACGTCCTATTAAGTTGTCAAGTGGGGCAGCAGGGTAAGAGTTCAGTGATTTATAGTCAAGATAGATTAGCTTACATGTACAGTAGGTGCAGGTGCAGGTTCATGTCCTGGTTATGGTCCAGGTCCAAGTTCATGCTCAGGCTAGGTGCAAGTTTATGTCCATGTCCAGATGTAGCTGCAAGTCCAGGCCCAGGCTCAGTTGCAAGTCCAGGTTTAGGTCTAGGTCCAGCTCTAGGTCCAGGTCTAGGTGGCTGGAGAGTATCAGCATGAGGAAACATTAACATCTGGCAGGGAATAAGTGGAAAAAAGGCTGGTTGAGTACTGCATGCTGATGAGAGAAAGTGGAAACAGGTAAGCAGAGGGGCGCTGACTGGGACAGTTGGGAGCTTACTGGGACAGTTGGGAACTTACTGGGACAGTTGGGATCTTACTGGGACAGTTGGGAGCTTACTGGAACAGTGGTGATATTCCTGGGACAGTTGTGATCTTACTGGGACAGTTGGGAGCTTACTGGGACAGTTGGGATCTTACTGGGACAGTTGGGAGCTTACTGGGACAGTTGTGATCTTACTGGGACAGTTGGGAGCTTACTGGGACAGTTGTGATCTTACTGGGACAGTTGGGATCTTACTGGGACAGTTGTGATATTACTGGGACAGTTGGGAGCTTACTGGGACAGTTGGGAACTTACTGGGACAGTTGGGATCTTACTGGGACAGTTGGGATCTTACTG